ATGACAGAGGATTAAGAAAAGAGAGAAAACATAGACAGTGATAAGCATCAGCCGCCCATGACAAAAGGGAAGACAAGGAAACTATGACAGGGACTTGGCCCGCCACTCAAGTTAAGGCCCGGCTCACTGTTCGTGTCTATGAAGCAAGAAGACATCATGCCAGGCGATAGACTCCGCCATGCATGAACAAAGAGGAAGGAGAGAGAATAAGAAAGAAAACAAAGAGAAAAGAAAGATAAAGAAAAAAAAGGAAAGTGGATAAAAAAGATCTGAGAAGAAATAAGAAAGAAAGATATAGACGAGAGGAGAGAGAAAGAGAAAGATGAGAAGAGGAGAGAAAAAGAGACAGATGAGAGGAGGAGAGAGAACGAGAGAGGAAGGGAGAGAGAAATAAAAAGATGAGAGGAGGAGAAAGAAAGAGAGAGATGAGGGACGAGAGAGAAAGTTACCTTCACCAAAGGGTACCAGACCTTTTTTTCTCTCCCCTCTCTCTCTCCAAGACGTGCCCACAATTTGAACGTGAAAACTCTCAAACTTTATTGATGAGTATTGAAAAATCAAGGGTTCCATGACAATTATGTTTAACATGTACTTATAGAATTGAGCCCAAACATGGGTAAATGTCCAAAAACTACCTAAATTGATGATAATTATAATTTAATTAAATTAAAGAAATTCTAAAATTGGGTGCAAAATGATTGTTTTACCTCTGCCCAACAATATATGGAACTCCAAAACAGTCCCTGCTGCTACCCTAGAACTTGCATGATCTTTCGTAGATGATCCGGAGGTACTTTGATGCATGTTCGACTGAAAGATAATTGTTTTCTTGTAGGGCTCATCATGGCGATCGGTTTGATACCAATTTCGAGTCACGGATCGTGTTTTTAAGCCATGATCATGCGACGTGAAATTTGGATGAATCTTGAAAACTACAGGTCGATAGTGTGCTCGTTTCTTCACTGGATCACACTAAGCATGCCGTCACGATCGCGTGGCAACAAACACAGCTTGATTTCACTCCCTGACGAAGATTTTGCAACTTTAGAGTTTTAACCGAAATCTGAAATTTCAATGCTAGAATTTTTAGTTACTTTATTAGCTTCGTGTGCAAAATCCGATTGTTCATCATATATGGGGTTTAGATCAGAGATAGCCCTAAACCTTATGCACATAATGGAACTGGTCTCATGTTAATCCGATCTACGAGCACCATGATTTTGCCACTCGAGCGAGGCATGTTGCTGTTGATTTTTCTGCAAAATTTTTCACGGATTGACAACTTCTCTCTAGCTTTTCTCCTTGCTCGGACATCGTCACGGGCCGTGCCACATATCAAAATGCCCGTCTTGACCAGACGAACATGCTTATAAAATTTGAGCATGCTCTGGCTTAGGACGAATGAGATATGGGCCTCCAAATTCACTGTCTGAAACTGTGAAAACAGTCACCATTAATGGTGATTTGGTACAGGGAGGCCACACGGGAATAGTATGCGGCTTTTTCCTTTTTGGTATTTTACCCATATGGGTTTTCAGCTGTACCAGATCCAATGGCAGTGGTCCCACAACAATTTGAAGCACCAAAAATATAGTTCTAGTTACGGGGTCCGTTTCAGGATGCTAGAGACTAATTTTTTGAAAATTATTTCTTGGTCTGCATTGCCATAGACATGTCAGATTGCTACGAAACTTGGCAGGTGGCGTTTTCAAGTGCTTAGGAATATTATAACCTATTCTGAGGCAATTCTGAGACTGTCAAGAATTCCACTATATATTAAGCTTTATTGACTGGCTTCCTCTTTATTCCGCATCTGGGACCAAAGTACTGAAAAATATCTTCAAACAGTCAATGACTAAAGAATATGAGCTGTCCACCTACGATAGTCATGAATTGAATTATAATCAAATTGCTTTGGGCCGGTTACCAATATCTGTAGTTGTAGATTACACAATTCAAACAATTATAAATTCGAATCAATCAAATGTACCTATGAATAAACCCCTTGATACAAGAACGATTACAAATTATAATTTTAGGTTTAAGACTGACGGGAATAATATTCTACGACTAACAATTCATTGATTTTCAAACTGATCCATTTACTATATATTATTTGATTTACTAATCCTTTATACTGCAATGATTAAAGAGTCAAATGTTTTGGAAACTCTTCATTGGGCGATGAACTCAGATGATTTTGACTCAGATCTTTGGATCTTTCTTTCTCTGTCGTAGTAACAAAATCTCCGAATTTGCAGTAATAACTTGGTATAACTACTGGACTACCATTAACAAAAATATGTTTATGGTTAACTAATTTGTGGTCTAATCTGACAACATGTTACTTCCAACATAAGGATTGCTAAAAGTAAAATTCAGGAATAAGAACCAATTGTATGGGAAATACTTCAAAAAGTTATGGAAAGACATCTTGTATTGTTGAATAAAGCACCTACTTTGCATAGATTAGCCATATAGGAATTCTAATTAACTCTAGTGGAGGGATGTGCTATTTGTTTACATCCATTAGTTTGTAAGGGATTCAATGCAGACTTCGATGGGGATCATAACTATTCATATATTGTTGTCTTTCGAAGCTCAAGCAGAAGCCCGTTTACTTATGTATACTCATATGAATCTCTTATCTCTGACTATTGGAGATCCTATTTCTATACCAACTCAAGATATGCTTATTGGCCTCTATGTATTAACGATTGGGAATTGCTGATGTCTTTGTACAAATAGGTATAATCTATGTAACTACAGAAACTATCAAAATGAAATAGTTGACGATAATAACTATAAGTATACAGAACAGAAAGAACCTTAATTTTGTAGTTTATGAAGTGAGGTAATTTTGGCTAATTAAAATAAAATGAGATACTTTTGTGGTAATAAAAAAGAAATGATATAATCTGCAGCTGACTCGCCTACCTAAAAAGAAGGAAACCAAAGCTTTGATCTAAGCCCCTTTACTAGTAAGGCCCAACTAGACTTGCTTAGTAATAAAAGAGCATTTAAAACTCTTAAATAGCTGCTTCAAATGAGGAAAAAGCTTGAACAACTGCCTTATAATAGAAGTCAGCCTTAAAGAGCGATATAACTTAGAACAACGCAACAAAGCACTTTTTGCTTTCAACTGGCCTGGAGTCTCGGTATCACGCTTTCCAGACAGGAACTCTTTCTCTTCGGCACTCGAACTGTTACCGCGTTCTGTGTTCCAAATCATTTCGACTTCCTGCGCCTTCAGCTTCTGTGCCTGTAGCAAATTCAAAGCTCGTTGACTGGGTGGAAGCATCATAAGAAGTTGACCTCATTGATTGAGTTCAAGTCCCCCTACCCCAGCATAGCGCTTCTCTTCTTGTTCATTTTTGGTAATTAAAAAAAATGGGGTATTTTTTGTATGAAAAATAAATTGAGGTACTTTATAGTATAATGCATGCATCAGTTGCTAGCTTAGGGGTGGGAACAGAATTTAATTGTGCTGATCACTACTGTGGTTTATATTGATGGGCTTTACTTCTCCTCAAGCTTTCTCGAGATGCTGGGAGCTTGTCTACTTGAGAAACACATTATTTTTGGATGATAGATTGGTGAAGCATTTTGAAAGCACAATCCATGGTAGAGGGCATCAGTACCATGCTAGAGGCAGTTACCATCCGCTGATGAGAATCATGGAATTTGAGATAAGGCCAAAAACTTACAAGTCGCATATGGAGAGACATGGTATAGTGCCCCTTGATGATCTTGGTGTTGGAGTAGTGGATAGATGGAATTCAGTGTAAGTTGCATCAAGAGACTCCACATTTCATAATGCAGTGCTAAATCAGGTGCAGCAAGTATCTGCAACATGATGAAGTCCTCAGCCGTGCTGGCCAGATTGAGTAGTGGCATGGATTTCTAGCATATAGCAAAAGTGTGGGACAATAATAAGAAGATTTCTTGGAACCACTTTAAGGTGTCGTAAAGTAAAGCTCTATTAATTAGTTGTTCTAGGAGAAATCCTAGATGTGCTACAGATAAGAGAAATACATAGACATGGAGTGGCAAAGGAAGGGATGAATGGAATGTTTTGCATGAGAATGAAGTATGATGGAGAGATGAGATACCCTCTGATATAGGAGAGGCTGAGCTATCCTTTGATGTTTGTACTCCTTGCTTTTTTGAGTGCATTTAAAAATGAGACCTGCCATGCTTGCATTTTAGCTGTATCATGCGTTTCTGGGGTTTTCTCCATTAGTATTGATGGGAATCTGAAAACTTCCAGGGTTTGATCTTTAATCTTTTGAAAAGAAATTTGGATGAAAAATCTCAGTTTATTGATATTTATATTATCATAATTGAAGTGCAAGTAGTTGTATTTCATGGGTGGCTTGAGATCAATGTCGCCTTGACATTGATATGAGTTCAATGGTTGACATGTGTCCATGATATGAAACATAGCCTAAAAGTTGAGGTTCTGCAACCTATGAAATAAAAGGAAATAAGAAAAGTTTAGAAAATAGATATTAGATAAATGTAAAATAGTTGAATTTATAATATTAAATTTTGTTATGTTTAATAGATTTGATTCCTGACCTTTGAAATATATTTGGGGTACCACAATGTCTCTTTCTTTTTTGATTCTTGGATCCTTCTGTAGGGTACATTCTTTCTAGTTGACAATTTATAGAGGAATGTTTTTCCTTTTACGTTTGTCCCTTAACATTTATTTATGTTGTCTTGATTTCCTTTCATTAATCAGTCTTGTACTAGGAATTAAGTTTTTTATCCATTTAATTTTTCAGTAAGTGGCATAATTTTGGTGCAGATTTGTCTACATGGTTAAACCGATATATCCTTTCGAATATATTTCTCTCTACGCTTTTGAAATATTCAGGCACATCTCTTTTACTTGTTTGTAACTTTGGGTGTGCTATTGCCATCCACTTTTCTATCTTTTGAACCTAATCTTAGATGCACACACCGGAAATATATTTATGGCAGCCACCTTTTAATGTTCCTCTATGTCTGAAAAAATATATCTTAACCAAGAGATGTCACACATACACACACAGAGATAGATAGAGAGAGAGAAAGAGAGAGATATTGAAATAATACAACCAGAAGAAATATGTGAAAGAACATGAGGGGCAGGGTAGGGTAGTCTAGACAACAAGTGTCACATTTAATTTGTGAAGGGCTGCAACCATTGCTGACCATCAATGTAAGAAATGTTGAGGAAAGGAGCAGCTTGGCTATCATTGAGGATATGCACGTACGAAACCCTCGATGTTGTATTGGCTCCACTTCCACTGCATTGGTACTCTCCATAAAATATGGTCCTAGTTTTCCACCAAGTAATAACAAATAAGTTGCAACCAAGAAGAGAGAGTTAGAGATATAATGAATCATAGTTATCAAGATTGGACCGAACTGGCGATTTGGTCGGTTTGGTTCAAAGCAAAAATAGAGTTTGGCTAAAAAAACTAATCAAAACCAATGTGATATAGCTTATATTTTTGAACGATTATATTTATTTGTATTTTGTTTTGTTTCCTAAAATCTAGTACTACTGGTGGTTGGACTGATTTTCACTAGACCAAACCCCTCACTGGTTTGGTGGCCAGTCTGATCTTGATAACATTGATGCAAATGTCTATAAGATTCACTCATACTTTTGATCCAAATGTCTAAGATGCCCAATAACACATGTCACAATCTTCAAAATTATCGCTTTTTCTTTGTCTCTCTCTCTCACACACACACATACACACGCGTGCACATGCACATACACACATAGAGTACAGTGCTACCCATATGAATATTTGTAGAGCTATAACTTTTTAAAATTCTCTCTCTCACACACACACACCCAACACATATGCATACATACACACGCACAGTAGAGTGCTGCACGTATGAATATTTGTGGGGCTATAACTTTTTAAATTAGTTCTTATAGTGATCTAGAATGTACTCATGTGAATAACTTAAAATATTTCTTCTACATCTACTACCACAAATGAGGAATTATGTGACCATTGTGCTCATGGGATCCTTGAGTTTTGTCAGTCAATCAACACGATTCTTTCAGAATCTTTGCATATTATATCCTAGTATGTTGATCAATATTTTTCTCATTAGAATGGGCTCCTTGTGGTTTATTCTCTTACATAAAGAGCAATAATTTGGATAGTTCTTGCATTATCATTCTTCTTGTGGCACTCGTTCCTCATGTCTACCCGAACTTAGTGTGGAGTTCTGCAAATTCTAAGAGGAAAACATGAAAAGGAAATTCTCACTGAAAAATGTACCCTGAAGAAAGGAGTCCTCACCAAATTCGCATTACAGTAAATACTAGGTAGTGTGAAAAACGTTTACCAGTCCACCTAATTTACTTCATTGAACCATTAAATGGACCATGACCCTTTAATTCATATGTTGAAGGTATCTGTTTACTTCATCACTGCACTGCCGAAGGGACTGTGACATGTTAACTTATGTGTTCAATGACTTGAATCTAAGTTTTTTGGCAAGGGGTTGTAAAATCGTGTGCATCTAGAACCATCGGCACTGAGTAGTAGCTACAAGTAAACGTCATATGTGGTCCTATCTACGCATGAAACTTCATATAATTTATGCGTCATGTATTTTTGGCTCCATCTCAAACTCCTAATCATAATGCAGGTTTGTATGATATGGCCAAATATTCCATACTCATATCTTAAGCTCCTTTGTTTTGTTACTCTCTGTGCATGTGATAATCATTTGGTTACAATAACAAGTTTCACATAGGCTTCTTGTGAAAGTTTCCCTCAGTCACAATGCTTGCTCTTAAAGTGTTACAATTGGAGGATTACATCTTTCATAACCTTATCAAATATTGTCTCAAAGATTGCTATAGTCACTGGTGCTAGGATTTGGTGGACACCCTTTTTGTCATACGTTTGTTCTAGGATTCTTCTCCTGTATCATTTTATTCCTAAAATAAAATAATGGTATTTGTTGGTGGACCTTTCAAATTAATTTCGAGCAGTAGAGTTGTCTCTGTCATTCCTCGTATGGTCACCATGAGGCTCTAAGTATGTAAACCTCTCTCTGTCAAATTGCTTTGCGGTCTAGAATGGAAACCTCCCTAACATCCAGTGGATCTGCCAGATGCTATAGGTAACAAGAGCTCTTAGAAAACGTAGCTATTCATGGTGTTTCTTTAATATTTGATTATTAGAAGATCTGGCTACAGTTCGATTAGTTATGTCTTAGCTTTTTTGTCATGGTAATTTATTTCTGTGGTCAATTATTTCAACAGTTGGCGAGGAACATTTGGATTTTAGCTTCATTTGAATGCATGTTTCACTGTTCAAAAACTTATACTGGAGCATTCAATGATTGTTGTAAGAGATATTCATCTTCATGAATTCGTATAACAATTAACAAGCATATGAAATGTTAGATGGAAATAGGAAAATATAGAAAATTAGCGCCAGTTCTAGTATTGATTTCAGATGGAAGAATGGCAACTTACTGGTCTCGGGATGGATCATTCCAATCATTCCAACCATCTGGAGATATGATTTCAGACATGAAGGTATAAGCAAATATGACAGTGGAGAAAGGGCGCCACGCACGCCCCAACCATGTGCGTCCTCTCCCACCAATGCTACAGTTCACGAAGGAGAAGCCCGTGTTCTCATCCCTTGTTGATCGAGCTTGTGCCGAGATAGCCCCTGTTATGAGTTTTGCTCCACTTGGCACTGGGTTTGCCACTGAATTCAGTTGGCAGTTCTGAAATCACAATAAAGTATTTGAATCAAAGAAACCATAAAATAGCATTTTAAAATTCTCTCTGTAGCACTTTCAGCCTCTATGATTAGTAGATGGGAATGAGGAAACATGGGACAAGCCACTATGTGCTTTGGCCACATCGTATTCCCTCTCTTTCTCCCCTATAAGAAGAAGTTTAAAATCTGGACGTGTTAGCTCACTGCTTCATATTGAGTTTTATCTATTCCTGAACCATTTTGGAACAAAGTAGGAGTAAGGATTCTTATGGTTCATATTTACATCTATCCAATCAAACAAGACCATAACAAAGTAAAGAAAATCTCTGGACCGATCTAATCTTTGTTCAAGTAACCTTTTGCATGTCCAATTCAGCATGGTGGTTGATTAGATGTTCCTGACTAATATGATTAACATGAATTGTGCATCTAATTGAAATTGGATGTATTGGGAAGTACCCCATCATCACCAAATTACCCTCACCCCTTTTGATTTTCATACCAAGATCCATTTACCTGATTCTACTGTCACTAGCACATTTGTAGTACAATTAAGGGCCATAACCCATGCTGGTCCCGCCTAAGCAAGGTCAACAAATAAAGCAGTTTTCTGCTAAATGAGTGGGACTTTAGTATATGACACTACATTCCATTCATCGACCTAAGCGGATTAACCATAAGAAGTGAATCAGTCACTGTATAAAGCGCCAAGGATATTTGCACTACTAGCTCAGCGATAATAATGCAATTTAGCTGTTGTCCATTTGAAGTTTTGTACTTAGTGCCACTTCATGTTTTATGTTAATCTGAAGAAATATCACAAGCATTGCATACCTTGTTTATATGTTCCAAGTCTCATACATGATTATACAGAACCATGTATGTGTGCCTGATTGTGAGCTACTACGATTCAAATAGAATTTATTTACATATAGTCCTTCATAATCCATGGAAATGAGAGATTGAGGAAGATGTTTCGTATAGAATTAGTGTTGGGTGGATGAAGTAGATATATAGTTATGGAGTGTTATTTAATGAAAAAGATGGTTAAGAGATATTTATCTAATTTCAAAAGCATATCCACCAAGGTGAGATAATTGGACTCCGGGGAGAGTTCTAGAGAGGGAATTTAAGGGAAGACTCCTTTCGTGAAAAAGGAGTCATGCTAGTTCTAGAGAGGGAATTCAAGGGAAGATTCCATTCGTGAAAAGGGAGTCATGTGCTACCCAAAGACCTCTCTAGACTTGTCGCTCTAAGGCTTCAAAAAATTATCACATCTTCCTCTCTCTTCTTTTTCTTTACCTCTCTAGACTTGTCGCTCTAAGGCTTCAAAAAATTATCACATCTTCCTCTCTCTTCTTTTTCTTTTTTGGGTGAGTCAGTGGGGAAAGGGCCCCTACCCTTGGTAAGAATTGAGACTAAAATGAAGTGTTGTAAATTGTGAAGGGCTAACCAATTAAGCCTAGGCTCTTTTTCCTAAACCTCTATTTGCTTTTTGTTTCCCTTTCTAAAAAAACCTAGAGTGGGACATGTAGCACTGAAACTCAGCACGGTGAATTGGCAAAAACTCTTAGGCCATCTCCATCAAAGGCTAAAGCATCTACATTGTGGAATAGTAGCTTTAGTTCTAGTAATCATGAGGCTTGCCTAAGGTTACAAGCATTGAACTCTTGAAATAAAGGTAGCACACGCATGGAATGCAGAGGAAATCGAGACCAATTGGAATACTGTAATTGGACTTGAAAGATATATAGAACTCCTACCAGGTCCATGTTATTTTGTACATGTTTTTTTCTGTGTTTCGCTGTGTACTAATTCGCCATCAGAAATGCAAGATTCATGACAAGGATAGTAGGACTGCTAAATAGGCCATTCAAAGTTTGGGCTACCCAATAAGGCCCCTTGGGCTGTGCTTAGGCCTGGGCCAAGCATTAGAAGTTCGAACCACACCGATCCTTGCTTGGCTACCTTACATGTCAGTAGAGCTGCCAATCGGGCCGTCCTGGGTTGAGCCTAGGCCCAGATGAACCCCTGCTCAGACCTTATACCATTAAAATAAATGGGTGGTAATTCAGTTTTGGACACGGCTTTTATGTGTCCATGTAGAAATGAGTCGCCACTTAAAATTCTATTTTGAGATGGAGTTTTGGAACTTATTTTTAAGGACATGTAATATCTAACATAGAGATCATGAATATGAAAAAATAAATAAATTTTGAAAGTTAAAATTAATAATTTTATTACAAAAATCACAAATTAATAAATTACAAAAATTAATAAAGTTACAAAAATTAATAATTTTATTACAAATTTTATTACAAAAATTAATAATTTTATTACAAATTTTATTACAAAAATTAATAATTTTATTACAAATTTTATTACAAAAATTAATAATTTTATTACAAAAGTTACAAATTAATAAAATTACAAAATTTATAAATTAATAAACTTAATAATTTTATTACAAAAATTAAGAATTGTATTACAAAAATCAGTTTCAATTGTTTTTAGATGGACCACCTATTTGCATCCGTCTTTACGATGGATGCTTTATACCTCGAGACTGCAAATGTACAAACATGAAACAATTTTCCTTCAGGCTTTGTCTAATAATATGGAACAAAAAAAATGGATCAGGAAACATTGAGAACGGGAAAAGTGTTGGTTTAAAGAGCATGATTATTACATTCATGATTCAAAAACATGAGTTCATAAATAAAAGGGTACCTATGTATTTGTGGCTGGAATGGGTGGGTATAACTTTCACTTAAAAGAGATGAAAAATATCACTCTGTATTTAAGTAATTAAATGTTGAATCAATATCAGTACTTCGTTGGTGCTACGGGAGGATGGCACCAAAGAGAATCTCCACGAAGAGAAAAATTTAAGGTAGTTTATAGATTTTCATTTTTTTTCTTCCAAAAGCTTATTTTGAGGACAATAAAATATGGGCGTGGTTTTATAACGTCAGAACTTTAAACAATCCAATTACAGCGCAATTCCAAATTTTATCATAATGTGTAATTTTGGTGTAAAATATTCTTAAGATTATCTAAAAATCTATTTTTATAAAAGTTTAAACTTCAAAAATGGTTAAAATCAAGTAGATTTATAAACATATAAATATCTTGAAAATAGACTATCTAGATACTGTGTTGACTATTTATGGGACTCAATATCTGTTTTTAAATCATACTCATATATCTTGATGATGAGATGATCAATTAGATGGTTTTTCAACATTACAACAATGTTTTTCAATGGATTTTTAAAGGGTACCTTTAATTCTAACTTTTAAAGTTACAACTTTATATAAATTTTTTCCATAATATATCGTAGTTTTAATATATTTTATTTTTCTCACAAAATGACTGTTTTTAGGCTACTTTCATAATTAAGAGTATAAAATGCTTTTAACTTTAGGGGTTTTTCTAAAGGGAAAGGTTTCTAGCTTCCCCTATAGCATAGAAGTTCTATCCTCCCCCTACCATCCAACCATTCAATTTTAATCAAGAGAGCCACTCACCATTTTATCTTTGATCCGACATCTAAAAGTATTTTATTTTTAGTTTTTTTTTATACAAATTGTATAAATATAAAATTTGGTATGTGACATCTTCTCATTGTGGCCCGCCTATAAAAAACTATTAAAAATAATTTTTCGATAAAATATAATGACCAAAATACCCTTTGAAACTTTCAAGGGTATTTTGATCATTTTATTTTAATGAAAATATTTGTTTTTATATTTTTCGCTAGTGCAAGTTTAATAGAAGAATGGACGTCCAAAATTTAGTGTCAAAACAGTTTATAGACAAAAATTTAAAAATAAAATAGTGTAGAGATGTGACATTGTGATTGGAGCAATATTAACTTTCCATTCAAAATGGACGGTTGGATCAGGGGGAGGATATAACTTCTATTTTGTAAAAGAAGCATATAAAGCTTGCTTTTTTCTAAATAATGGGTTTCAAATTAAGTTATGCTAAAACCATGGTGCCCATCCGTTGGCGATCTGGGAGATCCATCAACAAAACCGTTGCTATTCAGCAACCTCCCCTAGGGGGCGCACTGTGGAAATTTCCCCACGGATTATGCTATGTCGAAGTAGTATTTTTAAAAAATAGATTGATGGGGTTGACCCATTGATATCGATCTGAATTTGGAATAAAAAAGAAAAAAGAAAAAAAAACAAGAAGAAAAGAAATAATGATATTTATGCTTTAAATTGCTTAAATAAGATGCCTGCGGTGGCTAGAGGGTTAGATTGCCGTCTACACAATGGATATTAGAATCCTCCCATCACAATTCTTTTTTGTTAATGCAAGTTTAAAAAATAAAAATAAAAATTGCCTATATGGATATATTACGTACTATAAACAATTTAGTTGAGGAATGGGCACAACCAGCAATTCTTAATCCAAATCAGTGATCTTTTAGTTTCTATATCTTCCTTGAAAATCGGTTGTTCCATTCATGTTTTAGTGTTTATAACAGTATGCAATAGAGGGATCAGCCTAAGGCTTAAGTGGTTAGCCGTTGACGTCTAGCAACGCTACATTTAAATTTCCATTCCTACCACTACAATATGCAATGGTAATAGGTGTCATCAAGGAAAAATGGAGTTCAAGAAAAGAATAAAAAACATGAAGGAAAAAAAGGCTCTTCAAGAAAAGAATGAAAACTTTTGAACAACGAAAAATAAATAAAGGTGAAAAAAGAAAGAAAAAATTGCATATAAATTCGTTATAGTTTCCGTTATTACGGCTCTTTTTTTTCATGTCAAAACGAAAATTATGAAGGAAAAAAGGAGTTCAAGAAAAGAATGAAAAATTTTGAACAAAGAAAAATAAATAAAGGTGAAAAAAGAAAGAGAAAATTGCATACATATCCGTTATAGTTTATGTTATTACGGCTCTACCTAATAGTTTCGGTTATTATCACCGTGTCAATTTTTTTATGCCAAAACAGAAATATAAAAAAAAAAAAAAAAGACTTTA